CCCCCTTTTTCAGCGGCCGGGCGAAGAAGTTTGGCGGGGGAGAGTGGTCGGTCCCGGGTTCAAGAGACGGGTCTGTTCCGGGCCCAGACGCACCCAAAGGGGGTTTGTAGTGGGGCGGAGACCCGTTTTTGATAAGAGGATTTTTAAACGCCCTTGGCAGCCCCCGTCTTTCATTCGGGGTTTAATTGCTTCCGCCTTTAAGGAGAAGAGGGTCCACTTGGCAGTGGCGAAACAGTCGGGGGGTTTTGCCCGGGGAGGGCAGCGGGGTTTCGCATCAGTGTCAGGGGACCCAAAACTTTCCACGGAGTAGAGAAACCAGCCCCAACTGCACCCTCCCAAACCACGGCCATTAGTGGTCCCGGTGCCCCACGGGGGGAAAGTAGAGCCCAGCCTTTTGAGGAGTAGCGGGGGGCAAAGTTTAATACTGGGTGGGTGGGGCCCAATTTTTCGTAAAGGGCCGCCCGGGGAAGTTAAACTTCCCCGGTATGTCGACTATGGGCCAGAAAGTCAAGCGGGGCCCAGGGGGCCCATTTTTGGGATACAGCGTTGCGCCCAGCATATGCAGCGTCGCCTTTTTGGGGGCCGGGGAAAAACCCGGGGAAAAGATACGGCGGTTTTCCTGCCCCCCCCCGCTCCATCCCCGCTCCGTTACTTGCTCCTCACCCGCCCTTTCCGCAATGCCCTCTACACCCAGTAAAGGGCCCCAAACACCTCGGGCTGAGGGGAGTTGTCGCTCGTTGGCTTTCTTCCGTCGTTCAGATGCTCCCCCTCCTGCTACTCCTCTTCCCGGTTTCCCGGGGTCGCAGTTTTTTCTTGGAACCCTTTTCCCAAGAGACAAAAAATTTTGTGAGCACGCCCCCGGGGCCGGTGAAAAAAGTGTCGTCCCCCTGCCCAAATTTTGCTGGGGGGGGGCAGTCCCTCCCTTTTTCCAACTGGTGGCTCAGCCCCTTTTCCGAGAAATTTTGGTTTGGTGCCGCGCCGCGGGGGGGAGAGGGGCCCAAGGGCCGAAAATTTCTTCCCAAAATAGGCGGGGGCACCCCTGCTTTTTTCACATTAGAAGAGGGGGTGGGCCAGTCTTTGAGAAAGTCGGCCTCTGCCAAAGGGGCAGGGCAGCGCCGACGTGGGGAGCTGAAACTACGGCCCGGGGAAAAGTAAAATGTCTTTTAAAGGGCCCCAAAGGGGTGAACGTGGTCCCGGCACAGCCCCCCAACCCAGCAATTTTGGACAGGTCACCCCCTTTTTTTGGGGGCCTCCACTTTTGCACTTCCTTGGGCCCCGCAAAACTTTGTCCGCCTCAAACCCCTCTTCTTCCGCCGTTTTTTTTCCTCAGCCGCCCCCCCCCCCCCCCCCCCCGGCCAATTTCCCCATACCCGAGGGGGCTATCACATGTGGCAGGGCGAAACGGTGTCACGCTGTGCTGCACCTGGTAGGGCCTTTGGGCAAAACATAGTCAAAACGGGGGAGGAATTCTGAGTGAAATTTAACAGAGAAATGGGACAGGGGGCTGCCCTCCGCGCAAACTGAAAAATGGGAAACCATTTTGGGAACCGACAACGGAAAAAAACAGGGTTTGGTCTGCTCTGGTCGGGAAAGGGGTTGTGCCATGCGCCATCCCAGGGCTCACGTGTTCAATCGGGTTGCCCAAAGCTTTTTTCCTAAAATCCACCCATCCCACTGAAAGGAACCCTTAAAAAAATTGTCACAAAAACTTTGCAGCTTTTCAGCCATTCATACCCGAAAAGCACACCCTAAATTGAGCTGCAGGGGCCAGAAGGGAAATTTCCCAAACCAGCATCCCCTTTTACCCTTGGGGACTTTTTGCAGCAAGGGGGAAATTAACCCCTACACATTTTTAGACCGCCTTTTACGAGCAGCAAAAAGGCCACACCATTTCCTGATTTTTAAAAAGCGGAAAAAAGGTACTCCCCTGGGGAAACTTGATTTTCACCCCTTTGGCAGCCCCATGCGGGGAAAACCTCCCGGGTTTTCTCGGGCCCTTTTGGGGAAAAGGCCCAAACGTATTTCGTGATTGGGCAGGACTATGGGATGAACAACGTCTTTCCCATCTTTTTCACGTCCGGGGAACAAATGCTGTTAACAATGGCTGGTCGGGGTGCGGAAAGACGGGGCCCGCAAGTTTCTCAACGCCCACGGGACCCTGGGGGGGGAAGACGGGAAAGAAGAGGGGGAGGTAAGGGGGAAATTTTGTGCCCAGGAATTATTGAGGGGAAAAGGGTGGTTTTTCCCCAGGGGACAGGAGTGGAGGACCCGGGCATCGGTAGGGGGGGAGGGGGAGACAGAGGACCCAAAACGCACCGTGGAAATTTATGTTTTGGTGGATGGGGGCAGGGAGCCCCTCGCATTCCTTGGCGCAAAGGGCCCCATAGCATGCTGGGTTTTGCTTGCGTGGGGGCGACACCCCGAAAAATTTCCCCACAACAGAGGGATAAATTTTTTGGCTGTCCCCTTTTTTGGCCCCCTCGCCCCTTTTCCAAAATTGGGTTTCCCTTTTTCACACCTGCTGAAGGGGGCCCAAAAATTAAACGTCCCTATAAAAACCCCCAAAAAAGGGGTTAGTCGTTGGTCTCTCCCTTTTCTGCCCCAACTTTCCATCCTCGGGCCAACGGGGCCCCCTGTGCGCCGCTTTTCCGTGCCATGGCGCAGGGGGGGGGGGGGTTGGTAGGAGCAGTGGCGGGCTCCCCCACAGGGGCCCTGCCCCCAGTCTCCCGTCGATGATGAGTAGCTTTCTTCCCCAGCGCAGTGGGGGAAACACAACCAGCCGCAGCAGCAGGGACAGCCTAAAGGGGACCGGAGCAGGAGCTCAAAAAACAGGCTTGGGCCCCTACTGGGGGGCACCCTGCCAACCGAGGGAGACAAAACCCCTTTTTCAAAAGGGCAACGAAATTGACCTTTGGCCCCCAAATACTGAATTTGCCCTTGAAAGGGGTTTAAAGCCCCGGGCCAGTTAAACGTGGGATCGGAGCGCGGTTTTTGTGCGGCAGGAGGTAAATTTCCCCCGCGGAGGACCGGGCGGGCCCCCCAAAGTGTTGGGGAGACTCCCGGTTTGGGGAAAATGAATAAAGGCCCCTGGTTAAATTGGATTTCAAACCCACCAGTTTCCCCGACACAACCCGACCAAATCCCCCATGAATCATGCCACCCAAAAATGTGCCACTTTTAGGTCTCCTCAAAACACTGCTGGGGTGTTCCATTTTTTTTTTCATGGGGGCTGGCAGATTACGGGCCCCCCAAAAGCTGCTGCCAGGGCCCCCAATCTGCCCTGGGCCCCCCATACCACCTTTCAACTGCTGCCAGGTCCACAACTTCCCTGGGCCCTGTGCCACCCTTTTAGGTCCCTAAAATGCTGGTGTGTTTCAATTTTTTTAAAATAGGGTGCTGGCAAATTTCAAGCCTCCCATACTTCTTTCCCGGGGGCCCCCAATCTGCCATGGGGCCCCCAACCCCCTCCCCCATGCTGCTGCCCCGGTCCCCATCTCTCAAAGCCATGTGCCACTTTTTAGGTCTCCCCACACCTGCTTGGGGTGTTCAATTTTTTTTACTTTGGTTTTTGGCCGATTACGGGCCTCCCATAGCTGCTGCCAGGCCCTAATCTGCCCGGGCCCCTATAAACCCCCTCCCCATTTCTGCTTCCGGTCCACAGTCTTCATGCCATGTGCCACTTTCAGGTCTCCTCACACCCCGCTGGTGGTTCAATTTTTTGACATTTGGGGGGTTTTTGGCAGATTACGGGCCCCCCCAAAATAGGCTGCCGGGCCCCTAATCTGCCAAAACGCCCCAAACCCCTCCCTTTGCTGCTGCCGGGTTTCCACATTCTCTCATGCCATTTTGCCAATTCGGGTCTCCCCCACACACGCGGGGTTGTTTCAATTTTTTGTCATGGGGGCTGGCAGATTACGGGCTCCCCATAGCTGCTGCCGGGCCCCCTAATCTGCCAGGGGCCCCCCCGTACCCGTTTCCTCATGCTGTGACTTTTGCAACAAGATGGAATTAAACCCCAACATATTTAGACCGCCTTTACAAAACCGCAAAAGGGCCATCACAGTTTCCTGATGAAAAAAGGGGCGGAAAAAGGTACCCCCTGTTTAACTTAGATGTCAGCCTTTGGGAACTCATGCGTGCCCACCTGCGCTTGCTCGGGCCCCCTTTGAGGAGGCCCGCTATTTGAGTCGGCAGGACTATGGGAATGAACGAGGTCACCCTCTGTTGCCCCCGCCCTGGAAAAAATGTTTGTTAACAATGGCCTGGTCAAGGGGGGGTTAGACGGGGGCCACAAAATCTCAATGCCACAGGGCCCCCTTTGGGGGGGGCCGGGAAACGGGGAAAAGAGGAGGAGGTAGAGGGGACATTGGTCCCAAAGGAATTATTGAGTGAAATGGGGGGTTTTTCCACTCACGGACGGAGTGGAGAGCAGGAGCATCTGGTAGAGGAGGAGGAGACAGAGGACCCAGACGCACCGTGGCAAAAAAGTATGCCTGTGGAGATGAGGCCAAGGGAGCCCCTCGCATTCCTTGCACAAATGGCCCATAAGCATGCTCAGTTGCTTGCGTAGCGACAGCTGAATAATATATCCATCAGCACAGAGGGATGACTTTTGGCTGTCCACCTTGTTGGACCCTCACTACCGTTCTAAAATAGTGGCCCTTTTTCACACCTTTTTTTTTTTTCCATTTTGTCATAGGGTGCTGGCAGATTACAGGCCTCCCATAGGTGCCGCCCAGGCCCAAATCGGCCATGGGCCCCGTACCGCCTGGTTCACGCTGCTGCTGGTCCCACAGTAGTGTGACCTGGGTCCCTGTACCCACCCTCCCCCCACCGCCTCCGCCATTTGCTCCCACTCTGCCATGTGCCACTTTCCAGGTCTCCTCACACTCCTGCGGTTTTCCATTTTGTCATAGGTTTGCTGGCAGGTTACAGGCCTCCCATAGGTGCCGCCAGGCCCCAAATCGGCCATGGGCCCCCGTACCGCCTGGTCACTCTGCTGCTGGTCCCACAGTGTGACCTGGGTCCCCTGTACCGCCTCCCATTGCTCCCACTCTACCATGTGCCACTTTGAGGTCTCCTCACACTCCTGCGGTATTCCTTTTGTCCTAGGTTGCTGGCAGATTAAAGGCCTCCCATAGGTGCCGCCAGGCCCCAAATCGGCCATGGGCCCCCGTACCCCAGCCTGGTCACGCTGCTGCTGGTCCCACAGTGTGACCTGGGTCCCCTGTACCGCCTCCCATTGCTCCCACTCTGCCATGTGCCACTTTGAGGTCTCCTCACACTCCTGCGGTTTTCCATTTTGTCATTAGGTTGCTGGCAGGTTACAGGCCTCCCATAGGTGCTGCCAGGCCCAATTCTGCCATGGGCCCCCAGTATAATTTTTTTTTTTTTTTTTTTTTTACCTTTTTTTTAATTTTTTTTTATAGTACCCGCGCTGGGTCACGCTGCTGCTGGTCCCACAGTGTGACCTGGGTCCCTGTTACCGCCTCCCATTGCTCCCACTCTGCCATGTGCCACTTTCAGGTCTCCTCACACTCCTGCTGGTTTCCATTTTGTCATAGGTTGCTGTATGGCCTCCCATTGCTGCTGCCTCCACCGCCACACTGTGGCTCCAAACACTGGTTTTGGCCCCGTGACTGGCCAAATGAGTGAAATGTGCCGGTGATATTCTAAGATCGACGGCACTCATCTGCATGTCATACTGACTGACAGTATTATTTCTCTTCCCCAGCAGACTCCAAGGGCATTTAAATTAAAGGTACAGTGTATTCTGCACTAATATTAAGTCTCTCTGAAGCCTAGAAAACACCCTTTTTTAAGTTAAATTCACAGCGAATATATTCGACTCAAATCGAATATTTTCCACGAATTCGCCGAATCAGTCGAATCAAATTTTTGAATACTTCGCTCATCTCTATTTGATAAACAGGTTTTTTTCTCTTTACACATGGATGGAGATGCTAGCAGTCTCCCTCCCTTGATATTATTATGTCAATGGTAACCTTTAGGAAAAACAAAAATGGGTATAGTTGCTAAATTGGGGGTTTACCCAGCAACTGTCTTTCTGCTGACTGAAACTATACAAACTACCAAAACTATTTGGAATTTATTTTCCCACCTGACATAAAAATATACTAAATCATGAAGGCTTGTCCTCGGAAACACACAAATATACCATTGTTCTCCGATAATGTCCCAAATACTGAGGCCAAATCTCTGAGAGCAATAGCTAAATACTAATGCATGCCAAAGAACTTTAATTGGAAAAACTCCAACCACACGTCCAACTGTCTATGGACTATCAACAAAGTGGTTGTTCATCCCAGTGTAGTATCTTTGTGTAAATGAAGACATCTCCATTTTCATCTCCTTCAGTTGCTCCATAAACTGATGTCTTTCTTGCTTTTAGCTGACTATTCTCAGATTGTAACCTTGTTATTTGGGTTTTAAAAGAGACTTGGCTTTGGCTACTGTGACCTCCATGCCTGGGAGAATTGCCCCACCTTGCAGAGTAAACTTCTTTGCGTCTTGGTGCAGTTTTGGGGTACAGAGAGTTACTTTGCTTACTACTAATACTAGAGGTGAGCGAATCAAACTTGGCAAAGTGGAATTTGTTTCGAATATTAGGAAAAATTTGATTCGCGCCGAATCCGAAAATTAGCAGACTTCGGATGCGCAAATCGAAATTTTTTCCTAAAATGGCGGCGACATGTGCGGCGACGGAGCGGGGATGTCTGGGAAGGCGCGCAGACAAGGCGCGCTGACCCATAATGCATTCATTCATGACATGTGATCGCATTAGCCAATCAGCAGCCAGCCAGCCAGCACTGTGTAATGGTCGAGTTATAAATGGCGGCCATTTTAGAATTCTCCATTTGCCTCCAGTCATTCAAGAGAGGCAGACCTCTCTGTATTAGGGACAGAGTTAGGGACACAGAAACGTTACTTAGGGCCACAGAAACGTTACTTAGGGCCACAGAAAGTTACTTAGGGACACAGAAACGTTACTTAGGGCCACAGGTGGAGCTATAAATTGCGGCCATCTTACAATTCTCCATTTGCCTCCGGTCATTCAAGAGAGACAGACCTCTCTGTATTAGGGACAGAGTTACGGCCACAGATACTTTAAGGACACAGAATCGTTACTTAGGGACACAGAATTGTTACTCAGGGACACAGAACTGTTACTCAGGGACACAGAACTGTTACTCAGGGACACAGAACTGTTACTCAGAGACACAGAACTGTTACTAAGGGACACAGAACTGTTACTCAGGGACAGACACAGAATTGTTACTCAGGGACACTTAACTGTTACTCAGGGACACAGAACTGTTACTCAGGGACACAGAACTGTTACTCAGGGACAGACACAGAATTGTTACTCAGGGACACAGAACTGTTACTCAGGGACACAGAACTGTTACTCAGGGACACAGAACTGTTACTCAGGGACAGACACAGGATTGTTACTGAGGGACACAGAATTGTTACTGAGGGACACAGAATTGTTACTGAGGGACAGACACAGAATTGTTACTGAGGGACACAGAACTGTTACTCAGGGACAGACACAGAATTGTTACCCAGGGACACAGAACTGTTACTCAGGGACACAGAACTGTTACTCAGGGACACAGAACTGTTACTCAGGGACAGACACAGAATTGTTACTGAGGGACACAGAATTGTTACTGAGGGACACAGAATTGTTACTGAGGGACACAGAATTGTTACTCAGGGACACAGAACTGTTACTCAGGGACACAGAACTGTTACTCAGGGACACAGAATTGATACTCAGGGACAGACACAGAATTTTTACTGAGGGACACAGAATTGTTACTGAGGGACACAGAATTGTTACTGAGGGACACAGAATTGTTACTCAGGGACACAGAACTGTTACTCAGGGACACAGAACTGTTACTCAGGGACAGACACAGAATTGTTACTGAGCGACACAGAATTGTTACTGAGGGACACAGAATTGTTACTCAGGGACAGACACAGAATTTTTACTGAGGGAAACAGAACTGTTACTCAGGGACACAGAACTGTTACTCAGGGGACACAGAATCGTTACTCAGGGACACAGAATTGTTACTCAGGGACAGACACAGAATTGTTACTCAGGGACACAGAACTGTTACTCAGGGACACAGAACAGTTACTCAGGGACACAGAACTGTTACTCAGGGACACAGAACTGTTACTCAGGGACACAGAATTGGTACTTAGGGATAGACACAGAATTGTTACTGAGGGACACAGAATTGTTACTGAGGGACACAGAATTGTTACTGAGGGACACAGAATTGTTACTCAGGGACAGACACAGAATTGTTACTGAGGGACACAGAATTGTTACTCAGGGACACAGAACTGTTACTCAGGGACAGACACAGAATTGTTACTGAGGGACACAGAATTGTTACTCAGGGACACAAAATTGTTATTCAGGGACACAGAACTGTTACTCAGGGACACAGAATTGTTACTCAGGGACAGAGAACTGTTACTCGGGGACACAGAATTGTTACTCAGGGACAGGCACAGAATTGTTACTGAGGGACACATAATTGTTACTGAGGTACACAGAATTGTTACTGAGGGATACAGAATTGTTACTCAGGGACAGACACAGAATTGTTACTGAGGGACACAGAATTGTTACTGAGGGACACAGAATTGTTACTGAGGGACACAGAATTGTTACTCAGGGACACAAAATTATTACTCAGGGACACAGAACTGTTACTCAGGGACACAGAATCGTTACTCAGGGACACAGAATCGTTGAATTAAAGAGTATGTCAGACAACACGCAGAGGAGTGGCAGAGGAGGCAATGTTTCAGGAGCGAGCAGACGTGGCAGCAGAGGAAGGGGTCGAGGCAGCACTAGTCGCAGCCAGAGGCCAGTGCTCCCGGTGTCATCCAGCGGTCGTGTCTCCACCGACAACCCTGCCGTCATCCATTGGTTGGCTCGGTCGTCTTCCTCTTCCCAGGTCACCTCTGACACCTACAGCCAACGGTCAGTGGGTACGTCAGACACAACCGTTAGTTGGCATGGCCCGGGAGCAAGCCCACTGAAATCACGTGTCCTCTACCTGCCCCTGTCCTTTGGTGTTCCCTCACCAAGTGAAGTATCGCATGCTGTGGGCTCAGCCCCACTGTACAGTGAGGAAGAGCTAACAGAGGGCGGGTCAGGAACGGGGGGAGACATCCGCCTTTTCAGCAGCCAGGCAAAAGAAGTACTGGCGAGGAGAGTGGCTCGGTAGCCGGTCTAGAGACAGGTCTGTCTCCTGAACCACACGCAGCCGAGGGGGCTAGTAGTGAGGCAGAGACCCTAATTGATGATGATGAGGCTGATCGCACTTGGCAGCCCAGTCGTCGTATCAGGCTATTGCTTACGCATCATCAGGAGAAGAGGGTGCCAGCATGGCAGCGAGCAAAACAGTCGGTGGGTTGCCCAGGAGGCAGCAGGGTCGCAGCAGTGTCAGTGGAGGCAAACGGCCACGGAGTAGAGCACCAGCTCCACTGCTGGTGGGTTCCATTTGTCATAGGGTGCTGGCAGATTACGGGCCTCCCATTGCTGCTGCCAGGCCCGTAATCTGTCATGGGCCCCTGTACCGCCTCCTCACGCTGCTGCCAGGTCCAGAGTGTGTCATGGGTTCCTGTACGGCCTCCCATTGCTGCTGTCTCCATCGCCACACTCTGCCATGTGCCACTTTCAGGTCTCCTCACACTGCTGCTGGGTTCCATTTTGTCATAGGGTGCTGGAAGATTACGGGCCTCCCATTGCTGCTGCCAGGCCCGTAATCTGCCATGGGCCCCTGTACCGCCTCCTCATGCTGCTGCCAGGTCCACAGTGTGTCATGGGTCCCTGTACGGCCTCCCATTGCTGCTGTCTCCATCGCCACACTCTGCCATGTGCCACTTTCAGGTCTCCTCACACTGCTGGTGGGTTCCATTTTGTCATAGGGTGCTGGCAGATTACGGGCCTCCCATTGCTGCTGCCAGGCCCCTAATCTGCCATGGGCCCCTGTACCGCCTCCTCATGCTGCTGCCAGGTCCACAGTGTGTCATGGGTCCCTGTACGGCCTCCCATTGCTGCTGTCTCCATCGCCACACTCTGCCATGTGCCACTTTCAGGTCTCCTCACACTGCTGCTGGGTTCCATTTTGTCATAGGGTGCTGGCAGATTACGGGCCTCCCATTGCTGCTGCCAGGCCCCTAATCTGCCATGGGCCCCTGTACCGCCTCCTCATGCTGCTGCCAGGTCCACAGTGTGTCATGGGTCCCTGTACGGCCTCCCATTGCTGCTGTCTCCATCGCCACACTCTGCCATGTGCCACTTTCAGGTCTCCTCACACTGCTGCTGGGTTCCATTTTGTCATAGGGTGCTGGCAGATTACGGGCCTCCCATTGCTGCTGCCAGGCCCCTAATCTGCCATGGGCCCCTGTACCGCCTCCTCATGCTGCTGCCAGGTCCACAGTGTGTCATGGGTCCCTGTACCGGCCTCCCATTGCTGCTGTCTCCATCGCCACACTCTGCCATGTGCCACTTTCAGGTCTCCTCACACTGCTGCTGGGTTCCATTTTGTCATAGGGTGCTGGCAGATTACGGGCCTCCCATTGCTGCTGCCAGGCCCCTAATCTGCCATGGGCCCCTGTACCGCCTCCTCATGCTGCTGCCAGGTCCACAGTGTGTCATGGGTCCCTGTACGGCCTCCCATTGCTGCTGTCTCCATCGCCACACTCTGCCATGTGCCACTTTCAGGTCTCCTCACACTGCTGCTGGGTTCCATTTTGTCATAGGGTGCTGGCAGATTACGGGCCTCCCATTGCTGCTGCCAGGCCCCTAATCTGCCATGGGCCCCTGTACCCGCCTCCTCATGCTGCTGCCAGGTCCACAGTGTGTCATGGGTCCCTGTACGGCCTCCCATTGCTGCTGTCTCCATCGCCACACTCTGCCATGTGCCACTTTCAGGTCTCCTCACACTGCTGCTGGGTTCCATTTTGTCATAGGGTGCTGGCAGATTACGGGCGTCTCCCATTGCTGCTGCCAGGCCCGTAATCTGCCATGGGCCCCTGTACCGCCTCCTCATGCTGCTGCCAGGTCCCAGTGTGTCATGGGTCCCTGTACGGCCTCCCATTGCTGCTGTCTCCATCGCAACACTCTGCCATGTGCCACTTTCAGGTCTCCTCCCACTGCTGCTGGGTTCCATTTTGTCATAGGGTGCTGTATGGCCTCCCATTGCTGCTGCCATGCCCGTAATCTGCCATGGGCCCCCGTACCGACTCCTCATGCTGCTGCCAGGCCGTAATCTGTCATGGGCCCCGCCTACTCATGCTGCAGCTGCCAGGTCCAGAGTCGTGTCATGTACCACTGTACGGCCTCCCATTGCTGCTGCCAGGCCCGTAATCTGCCATGGCCCCCCGTACCGACTCCTCATGCTGCTGCCAGGCTGTAATCTGTCATGGGCCCCTGTACCACCTCCTCATGCTGCTGCCAGGTCCAGAGTGTGTCATGGGTCCCTGTACGGCCTCCCATTGCTGGCTGTCTGTCTCATCGCCACACTCTGCCATGTGCCCACTTTCAGGTCTCCTCACACTGCTGGTGGGTTCCATTTTGTCATAGGGTGCTGTATGGCCTCCCATTGCTGCTGCCAGGCCCGTAATCTGCCATGGGCCCCGTACCGACTCCTCATGCTGCTGCCAGGCCCGTAATCTGTCATGGGCCCCTGTACCGCCTCCTCATGCTGCTGCCAGGTCCCAGAGTGTGTCATGGGTCCCCCGTGTACGGCCCTCCCATTGCTGCTGCCAGGCCCGTAATCTGCCATGGGCCCCCGTACCGACTCCTCATGCTGCTGCCAGGTCCAGAGTGTGTCATGGGTCCCTGTACGGCCTCCCATTGCTGCTGTCTCCATCGCCACACTCTGCCATGTGCCACTTTTCAGGTCTCCTCACACTGCTGTGGGTTCCATTTTGTCATAGGGTGCTGTATGGCCTCCCATTGCTGCTGCCTCCACCGCCACACTGTGGCTCCACACTCTGGTTTTGGCCCCGTGACTGCCCAAATGAGTGAAGTGTGCGGTGATTCTAACATCGACGGCACTCATCTGCATGTCATACGGACTGACAGTATATTTTCTCTTTCCCAGCAGACTCCAAGGGCATTTAAATTAAAGGTACAGTGTTCTGCACTAATATAAAGGCTCTCTGAAGCCTAGAAACACCCTTTTTATAAGTTAAATTTGCAGCGAATATATTCGCCTCGAATCAAATTTTTTCCACGAATTCGCCGAATCAGTCGAATCGAATTTTTGAATAATTCGCTCATCTCTAATATTTATGTTACATGCATTTATAGCGCTGTACTTATACCTTTTTATGTTGAATTTGGGACTGTTGCCGATATCCAGAGTGCTAGCAGCTATTCTCATATTAATAGTTCTATATTTATATACAGTCAGGTCCATAAATATAATGTATTTATTGATGATGTGACTGCTGACAAAAGCAGCCGGATGAATTCTGAAGTGTTTCTGGAATATTATCGGCTCATATTCAGCCAAATGCTTTACAACTCATTGGACGCTTCACAGTGCAGATGGACAATGACCCAAAGCAGACTGCAAAAGCAACCAAAGAGTTTTTTAAGGGAAGGAAGTGGAATGTTATGCAATGGCCAAGTCAATCACCTGACCTGAATCCGATTGAGCATTTCACTTGCTGAAGACAAAACTGAAGGGAAAATGCCCCAAGAACAAGCAGGAACTGAAGACAGTTGCAGTAGAGGCCTGGCAGAGCATCACCAGGGATGAAACCCAGCGTCTGGTGATGTCTATGCGTTCCAGACTTCAGGCTGTCATTGACTGCAAAGGATCTGCAACCAAGTATTAAAAAAAAGTGAAAGTCTGATTTATGATTATTATTCTGTCCCATTACTTTTGGTCCCTTAACAAGTGGTAGGCACGTATGCAAACTGTTGTAATTCCTACACCGTTCACCTGATGTGGATGTAAATACCCTCAAAAAAAAGCTTACAGTCTACAGTTAAAGCACATCTTGTTAGTTTCATTTCAAATCCATTGTGGTGGTGTATAGAGCCAAACATGTTAGAATTGTGTCCATGTCCCAATATTTATGGACCTGACTGTAGTTATAATTTATTTAGCGCTCGCTTATATATTATCTAGAATTCCTGGAAGAACTATGCTTAATATATTCATTGATTTTATGTGTTAGAGATTTTTTTTAATGACCAACATGGTATTATTAGATTGATGTGAAACTGTTGTGATATCTGTGTTTACACAGTACATATAGATCTTTTACACAGTACATATAGATCTTTTAACACAGTACATATAGATCTATTACACAGTACATATAGATCTATTACACAGTACATATAGATCTATTACACAGTACATATAGATCTTTTACACAGTACATATAAACCTGTACATTTTGCTTGAGATGATACTGCCATCTAGTGTCTAATCAGCAAATCACTGGATCTTCATCATAGGTGGTGCAAAATACACCTCCGGAACATGAGTGTATTTCATATGTTTAAGTGATGAATAAAAGTTTAAAAGGATAAAGCACTATGTGGAGTTCTTTTTAATGAGGAATACGGATGACACCAAGATGTTTAGAAGGAGGGAGATGACTTTGGAGACCCCATTTAACAAGCTGAGTCCAATTGAGACCAAAAGTGCAGAAAGACCGTAGCGCATTGTATAATGTGAGGTCACACTGTGTGAGGTGAGCAGATACATGGCGGAGGATGTCTTTGCACGGGAATTTGTGACAGCTGCACATATTTTTTGTTATCCAAAGGAGGGTTCATGGAAGAACACTTTATTGACTGGACTTGAGTTTTTGAATGAGTTTTGGTTGATTCACACAAATGTTATTATTTGTGTGGTCCTTGTTTTTATATATATATATATATATATTTATTTATTTAATTTCTCACTTTGCTTTTTGAAATATAAGAATTGTGCAGTTGTTTCATGTAGCGCAGCATTTGTTTCCTCTTCATATTATGATTGTATAGATTTATAGAAGACTAATGTCAAATAGCTCTATTTTTTTAATGGGTTAAAAGCAATTGAACACCCTGTGTACATATAAAAACGTCCCGCACTGAATATTGACATGTTTACTTTTAAAGTGTTACTAAACCCACAACAATAAAATCGGTCTGTAGATGCAGTAAAGCGTGCTTGTTATACTCACTGTGGAACCTAAGGGGTTAATCATCTGCATTGTGTAAAAAGGCCATTTGATCCTGTCTTCTCTATTCCTTCCCTTTTTCAAGCGACCACCTCTTATCTCCTGATAAGACAGACTGAACGTAGGCATTTTGCACATGCTCAGTTTGGTATGTATTGCTAGAGAATTTTTTTCTTTCTTGGGAGAGTGCATGTGATCAGCACAGGGCTAATCAGCAGTGTCCAAACATGGGTCAAGGGTTTTGCATCCTCCTAGAGTAGGAAGAAAACTCCTCCTACAAGCTTTAGCTGGTGCTGGACTGGACACTGATAGAAGTCACAAGACTGCGCTATACTGCTGATGAGAAAAGGTATTTAGTAGTTTATATTTACTAAAATAATTGCATTTCCATGTTGTGTGTACTGTGGGAGACCAGATATAGTGAGTGCGGGGTCCGGGGAGAGCGGATATAGTGAATGCGGGGTCCGGGGAGAGCGGATATAGTGAATGCAGGGTCCGGGGAGAGCAGATATAGTGAATGCAGGGTCCGGGGAGAGCGGATATAGTGAATGCAGGGTCCGGGGAGAGTGGATATAGTGAATGCAGGGTCCGAGGAGACCAGATGTAGTGAATGCAGGGTCCGGGGAGAGCAGATATAGGGAATGCAGGGTCCGGGGAGAGCGGATATAGTGTATGCAGGGTCCGGGGGAGAGCGGATATAGTGAATGTGGGGTCCGAGGAGACCAGATGTAGTGAATGCAGGGTCCGGGGAGACCGGATATAGTGAATGAAGGGTCCGGGGGAAGGCAGATATAGTGAATGCAGGGTCCGGGGAGAGCGGATATAGTGAATGCAGGGTCCGGGGAGAGCGGTCCTGGGAGAGCAGATATAGTGAATGCAGGGTCCGAGGAGACCAGATGTAGTGAATGTGGGGTCCAGGAAGACCAGAGCCCAGGACGCCAGTGCCACGTGGAGGCCCGGCGGCCATCTTTAATCTTAAAGGGTCAGTCATTTGATTAAACCTGGCACCATTGTGAGTTTTTTCTGAACACTCTTGTTTTTCATGAATAAAATCATTTTTTCATCAACCTACTACACTATGGGTTCTTTCCTGTGTCTTCTGCGATGAGCATTTTCAGCTTCTGCAGAACCAGATTGATCCCTGCACCAGCCTTTGAGAGGAGAAATTTTCCACTTCACACACTTCTGTAAGGATTTCTGTGACCTGCTGGACCTCCATTTCGCCACACGAGGGCGTTTCATCTCTACTATCTCCATCTCCTGCCCATTACCAGACCAGAAAAGAGAGGGGAATCTTCATGATATCATATACACATGCATATTATTAATACGTTTCTGGTTAGTGCGCATTTCTAACTTTTGCACTGGGAATCAGCGAGCACCATTACTGGACTGTGATTTATTTATTCATTTTTTCATTTGCTTTGGTTTCATTTATTGTTTATATCTGCCCGCAATATAGTAACATCACACAGCGCTGCATTTTCTTTATATATAGACCAGATATAGTGACTGCGGGGTCCGGGGAGAGCAGATATAGTGAATGCAGGGTCCGGGAGAGCGGATATAGTGAATGCAGGGTCTGGGGAGAGCGGATATAGTGAATGCGGGGTCCGGGGAGAATGGATATAGTGAATGCAGGGTCCGGGGAGAGCGGATATAGTGAATGCAGGGTCCGGGGAGAGCGGATATAGTGAATGCTGGGTCCGGGAGAGCGGAGATGGTGAATGCGGGGTCCGGGAGAGCAGATATAGTGAATGCAGGGTCCGGGGAGAGCGGATATAGTGAATGCAGGGTCTGGGGAGAGCGGATATAGTGAATGCGGGGTCCGGGGAGAATGGATATAGTGAATGCAGGGTCTGGTGAGAGCGTATATAGTGAATGCAGGGTCCGGGGAGAGCGGATATAGTGAATGCAGGGTCCGGGGAGAGCGGATATAGTGAATGCAGGGTCCGGGGAGAGCGGATATAGTGAATGCGGGGTCTGGGGAGACCGGATATAAAGAATGCAGGGTCCGGGGAGAGCGGATATAGTGAATGCGGGGTCCGGGGAGAGCGGATATAGTGAATGCGGGGTCCGGGGAGATCGGATATAGTGAAGGCAGGGTCCGGGGAGACCAGATATAGTGAATGCGGGGTCCGGGGAGAGCGGATATAGTGAATGCAGGGTCCGGGGAGAGCGGATATAGTGAATGCAGGGTCCGGGGAGAGCAGAAATAGTGAATGCGGGGTCCGGGGAGAGCAGATATAGTGAATGCGGGGTCCGGGGAGAGCGGATACAGTGAATGCAGGGTCCGGGGAGAGCAATATAGTGAATGCAGGGTCCAGGGAGAGCAGATATAGTGAATGCAGGGTACGGGGAGAGTGGATATAGTGAATGCAGGGTCCAGGGAAAGCGGATATAGTGAATGTAGGGTCTGAGGAGAGCGGATATAGTGAATGCGGGGTCCGGGGAGAGCGGATATAGTGAATGCAGGGTCCGGGGAGAGCGATATAGTGATTGCCGGGTCCGGGGAGAGCAGATATAGTAAATACAGGGTCCGGGGGAGACCGGATATAGTGAATGTTGGATCTGGGGAGAGCGGATATAGTGAATACGGGATCCAGGGAGAGCGGATATAGTAGTGAATGCAGGGTCCGGGAGACCAGATATAGTGAATGCGGCTCCGGGGAGAGCGGATATAGTGAATGCAGGGTGCGGGGAGAGCGGATGTAGTGAATGTTGGGTCCGGGGAGAGCAGGTATAGTGAATACGGGATCCAGGGAGAGTGGATATAGTGAATGCAGGATCCGAGGAGACCAGATATAGTGAATGCGGGGTCCGGGGAGAACAGGTATAGTGAATGCGGGGTCCGGGGAGAGCGGATATAGTGAATGCAGGGTCTGGGGAGAGCAGATATAGTGAATGCGGGGTCTGGGAAGAGCAGATATAGTGAATGCAGGGTCCGGGGAGAGCGGATATAGTGAATGTGGGGTCCGGGGAGAGCAGATATAGTGAATGCGGGGTCCGGGGAGAGCGGATATAGTGAATGCGGGGTCCGGGGAGAGCGGATATAGTGAATGCAGGGTCCGGGGAGAGCAGATATAGTGAATGCGGGGTCCGGGGAGAGCAGATATAGTGAATGCAGGGTCCGGGGAGAGCAGATATAGTGAATGCAGGGTCCGGGGAGAGCAGATATAGTGAATGCAGGGTCCGGGGAGAGCGTATATAGTGAATGCGGGGTCCAGGGAGAGTAGATATTGTGAATGTGGGGTCCGGGGAGAGCGGATATAGTGAATGCGGGGTCCGGGGAGAGCGGATATAGTGAATGCGGGGCCCGGGGAGAGCGGATATAGTGAATGCGGGGTCCGGGGAGAGCGGATATAGTGAATGCAGGGTCCGGGAGAGCGGATATAGTGAATGCGGGGTCCGGGGAAAGCGGATATAGTGAATGCTGGGTCCGGGGAGAGCGGATATAGTGAATGCAGGGTCCGGGGAGAGCGGATATAGTGAATGCGGGGTCCGGGGAGAGCGGATATAGTGAATACAGGGACTGGGGAGACCAGATATAGTGAATTCAGGGTCCGGGGAGAGTGGATATAGTGAATGCAGGGTCCGGGGAGAGCGGATATAGTGAATGCAGGATCCGGGGAGAGCGGATATAGTGAATGCGGGGTCCGGGGAGAGCGGATATAGTGAATGCAGGGTCCGGGGAGAGCGGATATAGTGAATGCAGGGTCCAGGGAGAGCGGATATAGTGAATGCGGGGTCCGGGGAGACCAGGTATAGTGAATGCGGGGTCTGGTGTTTAATAACACTTTAAGTATTTTGTTGGGTTTTTTCAAAGGTTTTTTTTTCTAGTCTTGTAAAGGATAGGGAAGATTAAACTGAGATTGGAGGAAGAGTTTAATTTCACACTGTAATAGATGTCTTGCTGAAAGAGCTGATCAAATACAGCAGCTTGTTTCAAAAAATGGTTGGGTCAGTGTTACAGATTGGCTGTTCATGGCCAGTCCCCACCCACCCTGTCAATCTGCATCTCCACTTAAACTGTTCTCATACCACCATCCATTGCCTGGGTAATAGATGTCATTTCTGGTTGCAGATCCCAGGTCCCGAGTGTTTCCAATTCCTGCCTTTTGTCCTGTGCTCTTCTGTGACCCGAGTTTCCAATGATCTCTGTGCCTCCTGTGATTCTGAGACCCCCTATACTTTCCTAAGACCCCAGTGTCTCCAGAGATTCCTGTACCTCTAGTGACTGTTATTCCTCTGCAGTCATGTTATCCAAGTCTCTCCAGTGATCTCTGCACCCTTGTGCCTCCAGCGATTCATTGATCCTCGTGTTCCCCTTTGAGCAGAGTATCTTCAGTAATCCCTGTGCCTCCAGTGATTCATTAACCCTCGTGTTTCCCTGCGTCCCCAATGTCTTCAGCAACATTTGCACCCTTGTGCCTCTAGTGATTATATGCCCCACTTTCCACATTGACCCCCTCCTCACACACACAGTAACCCATATAAAGCCATTTATAACTCCGCCCCAAATTACATCACCGATCTTGTCTCCAAATACCACCCATACCGTACTCTCCGCTCCTCGCAAGACCTCTGACTCTCTAGCTCCCTTGTCTCCTCCTCCCATGCTCATCTCCAGGAATTCTCCAGGGCTTCTCCCACCCTCTGGAACTCCCTACCCCAATATATCAGACTATGGCCTACTCTGCTCACTTTTAGGCACACTCTGAAATCCCATCTCTTCGGGGAAGCCGACCCCAGCTAATACTGGAATCCTCTACTCTTCCAACCACTCCATCCCCCACATCTACTTACCTTTTGTACCACTATCCCCTCCCTCCTAGTTTGTAAGCTCCAATGATCAGGTCCTCCTATCCCTCTTGTATTGAACTGTATTGTTACTGTATTGTCTACCTCCATAATGTAAAGTGCTGAGCAAACTGTCGGCGCCATATAAGTCCTGTATAATAATAATATAATAACCCCAGAGCATCTCATGTCACCTTGTGACCTCAGTACTTCCCTCTGCTTTCATGTTCCAGTTTCTTTCTCTACAGTTATTGTCCTCAGCTTTTTAATTTACTTTGTCCACTTTCTGCCTTGAAATTAAATCCTTTTCTACTAAGTACTGGTTTCTTACCATATCATCTGCTGTCTGCACAGGTGTGTTTGAGGGCCACAATTTGGGAACCATCATACAGCAAAGCTCATCACTTCTTGTGGGGTGTGCTGGTGAATATCAGTTGGCTCCTTAGACTCTACATCTTGTCCTTTTTTAGAGCCCACATTTCCACCCATCATGCAGACAACAGGTCCCACTTTCCTGCTAGTCTATGACAGTGGTTATCCTAGAAGAATTGCTTTCAGTAGGCAATAGTAAGGGATATTTTTTCTGTGAGGGTGCAAGGTTTTTGTTTTTGGGCTTAAGATAAACCTGATAGACATATGTCTTTTTTTAAAGCCTAACCATGAAACTAACCAAAATAAGCAAAACTTGTAAAGTATTTTATTCTAATTTCAAAAATCCAACACCACTGTATAGACTATAACAGATTATCAACAAAATTGGAAAATAACCAGAACATACTTTATTAAGACCATTCATTGTAATACATTTGAACAATTACCACAATATAACAAATTCTATTAAAACTAAACCCACCATTCCTTCCACAAAAACTTCCATATTCTCTTAATAATGTTACCAGTCAATAATGACAGTGGATATCGTAGAAGAACAGAATATAAAAAGTAAAAGGATTGCTTTCATTAGGGATTAGGAGGGGATTTATTTTCTGTGAGTGTTTTTTTTTTCTTCTACATGAATTAAGATTTAAAAAATGACCATGGTATAATGAATTCTATTAAAACTAAACCCACCATCCCTCCCCAAAAAACTCCCATATGCTTTTAATAATGTTATCAGTCCCAGGACAAAAAAAGTGTCCAGAGGTGGAGACTAAAATTTTGCATCAAAGGATTTGCATCATTAAAAGCTTACATGTACTGTAAATCATGGTGCAAAATTTCAACACGTATGTGAAAAATATTACACTCATAGGCCAAATTATTAGATACACCTTGCTAGTGCCAAGAAAATCTCCCCCACACCATGACACCACCACCACCAGCCTGAACCATTGATACAAGGCAGGATGGATACCCCCACCATGACACCACCACCACCAGCCTGAACCATTGATACAAGGCAGGATGGATACCCCCACCATGACACCACCACCACCAGCCTGAACCATTGATACAAGGCAGGATGGATCCACCACACCATGACACCACCACCACCAGTCTGAACCGTTGATACAAGGCAGGATGGATCCCCCACACCATGACCCCACCACCACCAGCCTGAACCATTGATACAAGGCAGGATGGATCCCCCAAACCATGACACCACCACCACCAGCCTGAACCATTGGTACAAGGCAGGATGGATCCCCCACACCATGACACCACACCACCAGCCTGACCCATTGATACAAGGCAGGATGGATCCCCCACACCATGACCCCACCACCACCAGCCTGAACCATTGATACAAGGCAGGATGGATCCACCACACCATGACACCACCACCACCAGCCTGAACCGTTGATACAAGGCAGGATGGATCCCCCACACCATGACACCACCACCACCAGCCTGAACCATTGATACAAGGCAGGGTGGATCCACCACACCATGACACCACAACCACCACCAGCCTGAACCGTTGATACAAGGCAGGATGGATCCACCACACCATGACACCACAACCACCACCAGCCTGAACCATTGATACAAGGCAGGATGGATCCATGCTTCCATGTTGTTTACACCAAATTTGGACCCTACCATCTGAATGTTGCAGCAACCAGTCTGCCCATTCTCCTCTGACCTTTGACATCAACAAGGCATTTTCCTACACAGAACTGCCGCTCACTGGATATTTTCTCTTTTTTGGACCAGTCTCTGTAAACCCTAGAGACGGTTGTGTGTGAAAATCCCAGTAGATCAGCAGTTTTTACTCAGAGCAGCCCATCTGGCACCAACAACCATGCCATGTTCAAAGTCACTTGAATCCCCATTCTGATGCTCGGTTTGAACTTCAGCAAGTCATCCTCACCATTTCTAGATGCCTAAATACATTGAGTTGCTGCCATGTGATTGGCTGATTAGCAATTTGTGTTACCAAGCAATTGAACAGGAGGACCTAATAAAGTGGCCAGAGAGTGTGTACAGTTGATGGCAAACTTTCTTTAGCTTTGCATGAACAATGGCCAATGGGTGGATATATAATTGGAAAAATTATCCATGTATCACTCATAGATTGTGAATAAAAACAATTCTCTTCATTGGTAAGAGATGAAAAGCAAGTCAGTGTATTAATATATTATGAGCCAGACAGATATCATCCAGTACTATTGAGCCACTATTGTAATGTAAGACTGTATGCCCATTAGGCTGTACTAAATTGTGGACTTAATCGTGGAAGTCAAATTAATTGTGGAAGTGGAGATTTCTGTTCTAAGGAAAACGCACAGGACTATCAAACAGAATGGCTTTTCATCCAACATTTTGGACATGCCTAATTGGATGTCAAGGTCCTACCTTTTCCCTGAGGTTATGTTACTCCATGTGCTGGCGTCCATCTTGGATTCTGCTGTGCATGATGGGAAACCTTTTTATGCCTTCAGGTCTCTGAGGTCCACCCCCCAGAGGGGCGTGGCTGATGACATATAAGCCTGTGGCCCGCACATGCTCTTTGCACTTGTGTCTTGTGTCTTTGTGTTACTATTACTCTGTTCTGACTCTCGTGACTCTCCTGGTATTCTGATTCAGCTTGTGACTTGACTATTCTTTGTATTCTCCTTTGATCTGACCCTCTGTTGCTGAACCGGCTTGTGACCTGTGATTCTCGTCTGCTGTCCTGTACTGTTTTGTCCTGTTGTTGTTGACCCCGGCTTGTCTGACTACTCTTTTGTTTCTTCCACCAGCTACACGCCATTGGCAGCGGCCATTACCGCAGCTGAGGTGTCTCGGGGGCCGCGACCTGGTTCCTGGCTGCGTCAAGTCCATCCCCACCATCAGGGGCCCTGGTGAAGGGCAGCCTGGGACTTAGACTCCGCGCCCTGAGGGACTTCGGTCTGTGGGTGGTGGTTGTCGTCAGCCAGTGCGTTACATTGTTAGGCCTGCCTGTCCGTTCCTCGGCTCCTGCCCTGACATTGGAATATACTCCAGACAGGAGTTTGATAGATCCATTCATTTTCCTAATTGGAATATACTCCAGACAGGAGTTTGATAGATCCATTCATTTTGTTGGATAGTTTATACTAACATCCCCTGCTTGCACAAAAATTGACTCTTGACACTTGGGGCTTTAAGTCAGAAAAAGGACCCACATTGCATGGCAATATAGCTTTTCAATGGGTGGAGGGTGATGAAGGGAGATTGTATATGTACTTCCCTTTCATCAAAAGTTACTTCTCTGTTCATTGCTATAACCGTTTTTTGACCCATGCGAAAAGAATACTTATTAAAGATGTAAAAGAATGTTCATGAAAGTACAAGAAAAACAAATACACATCTCCGATGCCATGCCCTTTTTGATTTTGAACATGAACTGTAGTTCCAAAAGTTTGCAAAGGTTAAGGACGGCCATAATAGTAAAAAAAACAACAACTCCTTAGATCTTAATGCTCTCCTTTACAATGCAATCTGGGTTCACAGAGTTCTTATGGCTCATTGCAAACTTTGGGGAAATTTTTAA